GGGCTGGGACTGAGGCGCCCGTGCAGAGATGGGGGACCCCCTGGGCTGGATGAGCAGGGGCTGCGGGTTGGGACTGAGGGGCACCTGCAGAGATGGGGACCCCAGGGCTGGACGAGCAGGGGCTGCGGGCCGGGACTGAGGGGCACCGGCAGAGATGGGGACCCCAGGGCAGAGGTGTCGGGGAAGAACAGCAGGCTGAGTGGGCAGTGTCAGAAGAAGTAGTGGCTCACCATAGCCCCCCCCCGTTTTCTGCTCCCCAAATCCAGGCCTACAGCTGCAACAACACCTACGTGGCTGGCCGGCTTTACCACATGCCCTTTGGGGCATCCACGGGCTCCCTGCACAGCACCACCCACTCGGGCAAGAGCCAGCACAGCTACATGCCCTTTGTGCTCAGGTACCGCCAGCCAAGGGCTCCCCCCCCAGCCTAGGGCCGTGTGGCCAGACCCCGCATGGCTCCAGTGTCCTGGCTGTTTTGCAGGGAGGAGTCCGGGCAGAAGAGCTGCCAGGTCAGCGGGCAGACGGATCCCAGTTCCCTTTTCCTGGAGGCCCCGGATCAGCCTAACGGTGAGGGGTGCTGCCCTCTGCCAGGGAGGTGGCCCTGCTGGGTCAGTCGCCTGGCACTGTGCTGAGTCCTCTGTCCCTGCCCCAGAGCACGACACGGACTCGGACAGCGACCTGTCCCTGGAGGACGACCAGAGCGGGTCCTATGCCTCCACCCATTCCTCGGAGAGCGAAGAGGAGTTCCCGGGCGGACCCTGCTGGGACAGCCTGCTGGGCCTCTCCAGAGGTAAGGCCAGGGCTGGTGGGTCAGCACCTGGGAGCCTGTTCTGGGCTGGCTGGGCAGTGCACCCCTGCCCTGGCTTTCTAGAAACCTTGGGGCAGGGATATTGCAGCTGTGAGAGGCTCCTGTCACCTATCGGGCACCTGGGCTCCCCTGCCCTGCTGCCTGCCAGGTGTCTGCCCCCCCCTTCTCCCCTCGGCACCTGGCCTCCCTGCCACCTGATACCTGTCTTCTCTTGCCCCTCCCCTAGTGCCTGCCTGTGGGGAGCAGGAGCAGCCCTGGGTGGTAGGGAGGTGGGACTCAGGGGCTATATCTACACACGGCGTGGGGAGAGAGGGCTTCTCGTGCAAGAGCGCCGCTCTTTTCTAACGGGTGTAGGCTCTCCTGCGCACGAGGGCAGTGTGCTCGCGGGCAGGGTTTCCTGGGCCAGAAAGCCCTCTGGCTAACATGGGGAGAGCGTAAGAGCTTTTGCGCAAAAGCACATGGCAGCGTGGGCGTGTTCTTGCGCAAGACCCCGCCAGTGTAGACAGCCAGGGAGTCCCCGGCTCAGCTCCCTGTGCTCTCCTGCAGCAGAGAACCTGCCAAGCCACGGCAAGCCCTACTGGCCCGGGGAGTTCGTGACCACGGCCAGCGAGAGCGATGGGCATGCGGGTCCCGAGAAGCTGAGGGTGGAGCCAGCCACGGGGCAGGTGCGGCTGGGCCATGCAGAGGAGACAGTCAGGGAGAATGGGGACGCCCTGGACAAGAATATGCTGATGTCACTGCCCCACCCTGCCGCCCAGCCTCAG